CTGTTGCTCAGGGCACCTTGCAGCAAGCGCTTGCCTGGAGAGTTGTTGAAGCTCACCATCTCCGTCCAGTTGGAGCTGTTGCCCAGGGCACCTCGCAGCAAGCGATTGCCCGGAGTGTAGTTGAAGCTCAACATCTCCGTCCAGTTGGAGCTGTTGCCCAGGGCACCTTGCAGCAAGCGCTTGCCCGGAGTGTTGTTGAAGCTCACCATCTCCGTCCAGTTGGAGCTGTTGCTCAGGGCACCTTGCAGCAAGCGCTTGCCCGGAGTGTTGTTGAAGCTCACCCTCTCCGTCCAGTTGGAGCTGTTGCCCAGGGCACCTTGCAGCAAGCGCTTGCCCGGAGTGTTGTTGAAGCTCACCATCTCCGTCCAGTTGGAGCTGTTGCCCAGGGCACCTTGCAGCAAGCGCTTGCCCGGAGTGTTGTTGAAGCTCACCATCTCCGTCCAGTTGGAGCTGTTGCCCAGGGCACCTTGCAGCAAGCGCTTGCCTGGAGTGTTGTTGAAGCTCACCATCTCCGTCCAGTTGGAGCTGTTGCCCAGGGCACCCTGCAGCAAGCGCTTGCCCGGAGTGTTGTTGAAGCTCACCATCTCCGTCCAGTTGGAGCTGTTGCCAAGGGAACCCTGCAGCACTCGCGAACTCGTGGCATTGCTCAGAGTGGCCTGGGCTCCGGCCACCGCAATCAGAGCTGCTAGAACTGGCAGCATGGCGGCGAACTTGACGTAGCTTCTTCTCAGGACTGTAAGCTACAAAGCAAAAACTGCGTCGGAAGTTCAGCAGAGGCATCCTGAAAAAGCGAGATTTTGGCATGCCGCATGTCACCCCGAATGACCAAGGAACTGAAGTAGCCAAGTTCTGAAGAAAATGACAGAGAAACACAAAACGCCCCTTCTCCCCCTTCTTACTTCGGAACGTAGCTTAAGTCGAAAGAACATCACCCAGGCCCGCTCCAAGGCATGCGGCTGCCCAAGGCCTTGTGCCCCGGAATGCTCCTTGCAGCGCCCCGAGAGGCCTGATCTGTTTGCTGGCTTTGCTGTGGCTGTTTGAAGGGCGACGGCAGGCGGAACCACTAGCAAACAAAAACACCGAAGTTCCGTAGCCTTTCGTGAGCTCCGTATTTGCGTAACTGCGAATACAGATTCGATGAAGGGCCATGAAGGGCCCCTCCGCATCCTTGTTGCCCGAAGCTTGCCTAAAGTTCTCGCTATCCACATCACTGGGTCCCCATCACTCACACCCTCATCTTTGCGGAAGGCCGGCTGTACTGCAAGCCCTGTAAGCCAACACAGCCAAAGCCACGCAAGAGTGCATCAGAAAATCCTGCTCGTAGTCTCATGTGCAATAGAACACGCGGCAAGCCGCCCACCAACCTAACAAGAAATCTCAGCACCGAAGCCCTGCCACCACAAATTCCGGAAAGCCCCAAGCCCCCAACGGTTCTAACGCTGAGGGGCTCTCCTACAACGAGACACCATAACGAGACTGAATTGCGATGGGCAGCCTATGGCACCCTAAACCCAACGTGGGCCCATGCAGTCTGACATAGCACAATGGCACTGAATCCCCACACCCTTCAACCCCCTTGAGCAGCTCAACCCGAACCAGCCTGAGCCCAACTTTGGGACCGCCATAGAGGAAGTCAGGCAGTTCAGCACAAGGCGAACCATGTGGCCTTGCACAAAACGACATCTAAGCTTGACAAAGCTTGACAAAGGCTTTTCCATTTCGAGAAACTTGGGCTGCAGGAATTGGGCTTTTTTTGGGACAAGCCGTGCGCGCCACGTAGAGATCTGCGTGTTCATCCCTTCTTCGACGCTGTACGACCTGTTGGTTGTTCGTTCCTTGTGTTTGATGCATGGAAGGGAACACTGCTCACGAACCTCCAGCCCATGCGCAGGTGAAAACCACAAAGCAAGAGAAGGTGCTCCATCAGAACCTCCCATTCATTCTAGGGAACCCCCTTCGGCTCAACTCATTTCCCAAGGCCAGCTGGGAGTGCTCCTCTCACGCACTCCAAAGCCGAAGCCTTGAACCAACAGCTCACCAGCTTACGAGAGCCCAAGAAATTGCGACAAGATCCTAACCTCAACGCCCCTCGTAAGCCCAAGTAAACACGAAAACCCGCCGAGACTCCAAAGGCATCGAAGACTTACCTTTGGGCGTTCAGGGCTGCGGCTACAAGTTTGACATATCCCCTCCCCAAGCAGATTCAAGAATCCTAAAGTCACATGAGCTGAGAGGCAGTGTCCGGGCGAAGGATGGGCGAAGGATGTGCTCAGCTGCAGGACCTTCCGGGATCGCCATCCAACAGCCAAACTGAAAAATAGGGCCATATCCATATTATAATATATCATGAGCATCTATGAGTCATTGGAGCTGCGCTATCGGCGTCGTGACACATCTTGCTCGGCTCTTTTGCTCCAGCCGCGGAATAACGCTGGAAAGGCATCGAAGCGCTGTACATGCCATGCAGAATGACGGCCTGCGCAGAAACACTTGCGTCTGAGTCTGAATCTCGCTTTGGCATGGTGCAAGATGTCAAGCTGCCCAAGGTCTAGCACTGCGTCCGTCGTCCTCTTTGCCTAGCGGGCCCAAGACCCGCGACGCCAGCAGGCGAAATTCTCAAAGATGTCATGCAGAAACAGGAGACTCAGCGTCTATAGGCGGCGGAAAGCGTAAGTGTATGTACGCTGCCAAATGCTGCCAAAACGTGTGAATTAGGCGAAAATCTCTGTGTTCGTCTTCGCTCGCTGTGGCAACGATAAAGTATGGACGCTGTGCAGACCGAGAGATGACGCGAGATACGCACAATGCTCACATCAGCCCGAGGCTACGAAGAACGCGAAAAGGCAAAGACTCAGTGCTCCCTTCCCGGCGCTGGAGGAATCGACCTTCAGAATGCTGCGCCACGCGGGAGCTGTTGCCCAGAGTGTTGTTGAAGCTCACCATCTCCGTCCAGTTGGAGCTGTTGCCCAGGGCACCTTGCAGCAAGCGCTTGCCCGGAGTGTTGTTGAAGCCCGCCATCTCCGTCCAGTTGGAGCTGTTGCCCAGGGCACCTTGCAGCAAGCGCTTGCCCGGAGTGTTGTTGAAGCTCACCATCTCCGTCCAGTTGGAGCTGTTGCCCAGGGCACCTTGCAGCAAGCGCTTGCCCGGAGTGTTGTTGAAGCTCACCATCTCCGTCCAGTTGGAGCTGTTGCCCAGGGCACCTTGCAGCAAGCGCTTGCCCGGAGTGTTGTTGAAGCTCACCATCTCCGTCCAGTTGGAGCTGTTGCCCAGGGCACCTTGCAGCAAGCGCTTGCCCGGAGTGTTGTTGAAGCTCACCATCTCCGTCCAGTTGGAGCTGTTGCCCAGGGCACCTTGCAGCAAGCGCTTGCCCGGAGTGTTGTTGAAGCTCACCATCTCCGTCCAGTTGGAGCTGTTGCCCAGGGCACCTTGCAGCAAGCGCTTGCCCGGAGTGTTGTTGAAGCTCAACATCTCCGTCCAGTTGGAGCTGTTGCCCAGAGCACCTTGCAGCAAGCGCTTGCCCGGGGTGTTGTTGAAGCTCACCATCTCCGTCCAGTTGGAGTTGTTGCCCAGGGCACCTTGCAGCAAGCGCTTGCCCGGAGTGTTGTTGAAGCTCACCATTTCCGTCCAGTTGGAGCTGTTGCTCAGGGCACCTTGCAGCAAGCGCTTGCCTGGAGAGTTGTTGAAGCTCACCATCTCCGTCCAGTTGGAGCTGTTGCCCAGGGCACCTCGCAGCAAGCGATTGCCCGGAGTGTAGTTGAAGCTCAACATCTCCGTCCAGTTGGAGCTGTTGCCCAGGGCACCTTGCAGCAAGCGCTTGCCCGGAGTGTTGTTGAAGCTCACCATCTCCGTCCAGTTGGAGCTGTTACCCAGGCCACCTTGCAGCAAGCGCTTGCCCGGAGTGTTGTTGAAGCTCACCATCTCCGTCCAATTGGAGCTGTTGCCCAAGGCACCTTGCAGCAAGCGCTTGCCCGGAGTGTTGTTGAAGCTCACCATCTCCGTCCAGTTGGAGCTGTTGCCCAGGGCACCTTGCAGCAAGCGCTTGCCCGGATTGTTGTTGAAGCTCACCATCTCCGTCCAGTTGGAGCTGTTGCCCAGGGCACCTTGCAGCAAGCGCTTGCCCGGAGTGTTGTTGAAGCTCGCCATCTCCGTCCAGTGGGAGCTGTTGCCCAGGGCACCTTGCAGCAAGCGCTTGCCCGGAGTGTTGTTGAAGCTCACCATCTCCGTCCAGTTGGAGCTGTTGCCCAGGGCACCTTGCAGCAAGCGCTTGCCCTGGAGTGTGTGGTTGAAGCTCACCATCTCCGTCCAGTTGGAGCTGTTGCCCAGGGCACCTTGCAGCAAGCGCTTGCCCGGAGTGCTTGTTGAAGCTCACCATCTCCGTCCAGTTGGAGCTGTTGCCCAGGGCACCCTGCAGCAAGCGCTTGCCCGGAGTGTTGTTGAAGCTCACCATCTCCGTCCAGCTGGAGCTGTTGCCCAGGGCACCTTGCAGCATTCGCTTGCCCGGAGTGTTGTTGAAGCTCACCATCTCCGTCCAGTTGGAGCTGTTGCCCAGAGCACCTTGCAGCAAGCGCTTGCCCGGAGTGTTGTTGAAGCTCACCATCTCCGTCCAGTTGGAGCTGTTGCCCAGGGCGCCTTGCAGCAAGCGCTTTCCCGGAGTGTTGTTGAAGCTCACCATCTCCGTCCAGTTGGAGCTGTTGCCCAGGGCACCTTGCAGCAAGCGCTTGCCCGGAGTGTTGTTGAAGCTCACCATCTCCGTCCAGTTGGAGCTGTTGCCCAGGGCACCTTGCAGCAAGCGCTTGCCTGGAGTGTTGTTGAAGCTCACCATTTCCGTCCAGTTGGAGCTGTTGCCCAGGGCACCCTGCAGCAAGCGCTTGCCCGCAGTGTTGTTGAAGCTCACCATCTCCGTCCAGTTGGAGCTGTTGCCCAGGGCACCTTGCAGCATTCGCTTGCCCGGAGTGTTGTTGAAGCTCACCATCTCCGTCCAGTTGGAGCTGTTGCCCAGGGCACCTGCAGCAAGCGATTGCCCGGAGTGTTGTTGAAGCTCACCATCTCCGTCCAGTTGGAGCTGTTGCCAGGGCACCTTGCAGCAAGCGCTTGCCCGGAGTGTTGTTGAAGCTCACCATCTCCGTCCAGTTGGAGCTGTTGCCCAGGGCACCTTGCAGCAAGCGCTTGCCCGGAGTGTTGTTGAAGCTCACCATCTCCGTCCAGTTGGAGCTGTTGCCCAGGGCACCTTGCAGCAAGCGCTTGCCCGGAGTGTTGTTGAAGCTCACCATCTCCGTCCAGTTGGAGCTGTTGCCCAGGGCACCTTGCAGCAAGCGCTTGCCCGGAGTGTTGTTGAAGCTCACCATCTCCGTCCAGTTGGAGCTGTTGCCCAGGGCACCCTGCAGCAAGCGCTTGCCCGGAGTGTTGTTGAAGCTCACCATCTCCGTCCAGTTGGAGCTGTTGCTCAAGGCACCTTGCAGCATTCGCTTGCCCGGAGTGTTGTTCAAGCTCACCATTTCCGTCCAGTTGGAGTTGTTGCCCAGGGCACCTTGCAGCAAGCGCTTGCCCGGAGTGTTGTTGAAGCTCGCCATCTCCGTCCAGTTGGAGCTGTTGCCCAGGGCACCTTGCAGCAATCGCTTGCCCGGAGTGTTGTTGAAGCTCACCATCTCCGTCCAGTTGGAGCTGTTGCCCAGGGCACCTTGCAGCAAGCGCTTGCCCGGAGTGTTGTTGAAGCTCACCATCTCCGTCAAGTTGGAGCTGTTGCTCAGGGCACCTTGCAGCAAGCGCTTGCCCGGAGTGTTGTTGAAGCTCACCATCTCGGTCCAGTTGGAGCTGTTGCCCAGGGTACCTTGCAGCAAGCGCTTGCCCGGAGTGTTGTTGAAGCTCACCATCTCCGTCCAGTTGGAGCTGTTGCCCAGGGCACCCTGCAGCAAGCGCTTGCCCGGAGTGTGGTTGAAGCTCACCATCTCCGTCCAGTTGGAGCTGTTGCTCAGGGCACCTTGCAGCAAGCGCTTGCCTGGAGTGTTGTTGAAGCTCACCATCTCCGTCCAGTTGGAGCCGTTGCCCAGGGAACCTTGCAGCACTCGCGAACTCGTGGCATTGCTCAGAGTGGCCTGGGCTCCGGCCACCGCAATCAGAGCTGCTAGAATTGGCAGCATGGCGGTGAACTTGACGTAGCTTCTTCTCAGGACTGTAAGCTGCAAAGCAAAAACTGCGTCGGAAGTTCAGCAGAGGCATCCTGAAAAAGCGAGATACTTGGCATGCCGCATGTCACCCTGCATGACCAAGAAACCGAAGTAGCCAAGTTCTGAAAAAAGGCAGAGGAACACAAATCGCCTACGTGATAAAGTGCAGTCCCTGCTCTCTCTCCCTTCTTACTTCGAGAACGTAGCTTAAGTCGAAAGCAATGCGTAAGAACAGCAACCAGGCCTGCTCCAGGGCATGCGGCTGCCCAAGGCGCCTTTGCGCCCCGGACCTTGCAGCGCCCCGAGAGGCCTGATCTGTTTGCTGGCTTTGCTGCGGCTGTTTGAAGGGCGACGGCAGGCGGAACCACTAGCAAACAAAAACACCGAAGTTCCGTTGCCTTTCGTGAGCTCTGTATTTCCGTAACTGCGAATACAGATTCGATGAAGGAAGACGATATAGAGCTCGACATTTGCACGTGGTCTCATGCCGATTATCGATCCCCTGTCGCGGTGAACTGCGCCCCTGAGCATCCTTGTTGCCCGAAGCTTGCCTAAAATTCTCGCGAGCCACGGCGCTTCTCCCTCCTCATCACTCACACCCTCATCTTGCGGAAGGCCGGCTGTACTGCAAGCCCTCTAAGCCAACGCAGCCGAAGCCACGCAAGAGCACATTTGAAAATCCTGCTCGTAGTCTCATGTACAATAGAACACGCGGCAAGCCGCCCCTCGGATTCAATGAAGCGACTCCAACCCGAACAAGCAATCTCAGCACCGAAGCCCTGCCACCACAAATTCCGGAAAGCAACCCCCAACGGTTCTAACGCTGAGGGGCTGTCCTACAACGAGACACCATAACGAGACTGAATTGCGATGGGCAGCCTATGGCACCCTAAACCCAACGTGGGCCCCAGCAGTCTGAAACCGCATAGCACAATGGCACTGAATCCCCACACCCTTCAACCCAGAAAACCTTCAGAATCTGTAACAGCTCAACCCGAACCAGCCTGAGGCCAAAGCTTGGGAACCACTATAGAGGAAGTCAGGACGGCCAGTTCAGCGCAAGGCGGATGCCAGCTTGCCAAAGACCATGTGGCCTTGCACACAATGACATCTAAGCTTGACAGTGGCTTTTCCATTTCGAGAAATTTGGACTGAAGGAATTGGGGTAAACGATGGAAGAGTGAAGGTGTTTTTGGGACAAGTCGTGCCCCGAGTAAAGATTTACGTTTTGGCGTTCGCCTCGCGCTGTCCAAAGTCATGCGCACCAGATGATATCCCGAAGGATCGCGGCCCAACCTCCCGATGTTGAATGCATTCAGTCGACGCCGCGCGACCTGTTTTGTTGCTTGTTCGTTGCTTGCGTTGATGCTTGGAAGGGGAACACTGCTCGCAAACTCCAGCCTATGCGCAGGTGAAACAACAAAACGAAAGGAAGGGTTTCGGAGCGCTCCTCTCACGCAAGATTCCCAAAGCGTTGAACCAACAGCTCCTCAGCTTACGAGAGTCAGACAAGCCGCGACACTCCAAACCTCAACGAGCCTCGCAAGCCCAAGTAAACACGAAAACCCGCCAGGACTGCAAAGGCATCAAAGTCCGTAACAAAAAGAGAGTTGAAAGAGTATCTCTCGAGTACCTGACTTATACCTTTGGGTGTTCAGGCCCTAAACCCTAAACCCTGAAAAACCCTAAACCCTAAACCCTAAACCCAAACCCGAAACCCTAAACCCTAAAAACCCTAAACCCTAAACCCTAAACCCTAAACCCTAAACCCTAAACCCTAAACCCTAAACGCGACAAGTTTTACCTATCCCCACCCCAACAAAGCAAGACCCATCATCAAGATTCATCAAGGCCGCGAAATCCTGCAGTCTTGTCGTTCTTATCTGGGATCCCGCTTTTGGAGGCTGGAGGCCCTCGCAAGTAAGATGAGCTCCGTTTCTGTAAGCACGTGAAGCAAAACTTGATCTGAAACGCTGCACAACCGCTGCACGCCTCGTTCTCCCGTTGCCAAATGCTGTTGGAGCAACATGGGGCAACTGGCCTCGGAAGACACTAGGGATTGCACGAACAAACGATCCAAGTCTTGAGGCTCCCCGTACGAAGCCGCGCCCGCAAGGGATAGCGCTTCTGCAGGGCCATATATGCAACCCTCGCAAGACAGGATCCATGGGCCTGTTAAAAAACCAGAAGGACACTCATGCCGGGATTCCTAAAATAGGTACTGTATGTCCCCCGGCACCAGAAATAGCACGAATCCTACAGTCACATGAGCTGAGGCAGTGTCCGGGCGAAGGATGTGCTCAGCTGCAGGACCTTCCAGGATCGCGATCCAACAGCCAAAAAAAAATAGGGCCATATCCATATATCATGAGCATCTCTGGTCATTGGAGCTGTGCTATTGGCGTCGTGACACATCTTGCTCGGCTCTTTTGCTCCAGCCGCGGCAATATCGCTGGAAAGGCATCGAAGCGCTGTACATGCCATGCAGAATGACGGCCTGCGCAGAAACACTTGCGTCTGAGTCTGAATCTCGCTTTGGCATGGTGCAAGAATGTCAAGCTGCCCAAGGTCTAGCTCTGCGTCCGTCGTCCTCTTTGCCTAGCGGGCCCCAGACCCACGACGACGCCAGCAGGCGAAATTCTCAAAAATGTCATCCAGTGCAGAAACAGGAGACTCAGCGTCTAGGCGGCGGAAAGCGTAAGTGTATGTACGCTGCCAAATGCTGCCAAAACGTGTGAATTAGGCGAAAAATCTCTGTGTTCGTCTTCGCTCGCTGTGGCAACGATAAAGTATGGACGCTGCACAGACCGAGAGATGACGCGAGATACGCACAATGCTCACATCAGCCCGAGGCTACGAAGAACGCGAAAAGGCAACGACTCAATGCTCCCTTCCCGGCGCTGAAGGAATCGACCTTCAGAATGCTGCGCCACGCGGGAGCTGTTGCCCAGAGTGTTGTTGAAGCTCACCATCTCCGTCCAGTTGGAGCTGTTGCCCAGGGCACCTTGCAGCAAGCGCTTGCCCGGGGTGTTGTTGAAGCTCGCCATCTCCGTCCAGTTGGAGCTGTTGCCCAGGGCACCTTGCAGCAAGCGCTTGCCCGGGGTGTTGTTGAAGCTCGCCATCTCCGTCCAGTGGGAGCTGTTACCCAGGGCACCTTGCAGCAAGCGCTTGCCCGGGGTGTTGTTGAAGCTCACCATCTCCGTCCAGTTGGAGCTGTTGCCTAGGGCACCCTGCAGCAAGCGCTTGCCGGGGGTGTTGTTGAAGCTCACCATCTCCGTCCAGTTGGAGCTGTTACCCAGGGCACCTTGCAGCAAGCGCTTGCCCGGAGTGTTGTTGAAGCTCACCATCTCCGTCCAGTTGGAGCTGTTGCCCAGGGCACCCTGCAGCAAGCGCTTGCCCGCAGTGTTGTTGAAGCTCACCATCTCCGTCCAGTTGGAGCTGTTGCCCAGGGCACCTTGCAGCAAGCGCTTTCCCGGAGTGTTGTTGAAGCTCACCATCTCCGTCCAGTTGGAGCTGTTGCCCAGGGCACCTTGCAGCAAGCGCTTGCCCGGAGTGTTGTTGAAGCTCACCATCTCCGTCCAGTTGGAGCTGTTGCCTAGGGTACCCTGCAGCAAGCGCTTGCCCGGAGTGTTGTTGAAGCTCACCATCTCCGTCCGGTTGGAGCTGTTGCCTAGGGTACCTTGCAGCAAGCGCTTGCCGGGGGTGTTGTTGAAGCTCACCATCTCCGTCCAGTTGGAACGGTTGCCCAGTGTACCTTGCAGCAAGCGCTTGCCCGGAGTGTTGTTGAAGCTCACCATCTCCGTCCAGTTGGAGCTGTTACCCAGGCCAGCTTGCAGCAAGCGCTTGCCCGGAGTGTTGTTGAAGCTCACCATCTCTGTCCAATTGGAGCTGTTGCCCAGTGCGCCTTGCAGCAAGCGCTTTCCCGGAGTGTTGTTGAAGCTCACCATCTCCGTCCAGTTGGAGCTGTTGCCCAGGGCACCTTGCAGCAAGCGCTTGCCCGGAGTGTTGTTGAAGCTCACCATCTCCGTCCAGTTGGAGCTGTTGCCCAGGGCACCTTGCAGCAAGCGCTTGCCGGGAGTGTTGTTGAAGCTCACCATCTCCGTCCAGTTGGAGCTGTTGCCCAGGGCACCTTGCAGCAAGCGCTTGCCTGGAGTGTTGTTGAAGCTCACCATCTCCGTCCAGTTGGAGCTGTTGCCCAGGGCACCCTGCAGCAAACGCTTGCCCGCAGTGTTGTTGAAGCTCACCATCTCCGTCCAGTTGGAGCTGTTGCCCAGGGCACCCTGCAGCAAGCGATTGCCCGGAGTGTGGTTGAAGCTCACCATCTCCGTCCAGTTGGAGCTGTTGCTCAGGGCACCTTGCAGCAAGCGCTTGCCTGGAGTGTTGTTGAAGCTCACCATCTCCGTCCAGTTGGAGCTGTTGCCCAGGACACCCTGCAGCAAGCGCTTGCCCGCAGTGTTGTTGAAGCTTACCATCTCCGTCCAGTTGGAGCTGTTGCCCAAGGCACCTTGCAGCAAGCGCTTACCCGAAGTGTTGTTGAAGCTCACCATCTCCGTCCAGTTGGAGCTGTTGCTCAGGGCACCTTGCAGCAAGCGCTTGCCTGGAGTGCTGTTGAAGCTCACCATCTCCGTCCAGTTGGAGCTGTTGCCCAAGGCACCTTGCAGCAAGCGCTTGCCCGGAGTGTTGTTGAAGCTCACCATCTCCGTCCAGTTGGAGCTGTTGCCCAGGGCACCTTGCAGCAAGCGCTTGCCCGGGGTGTTGTTGAAGCTCAACATCTCCGTCCAGTTGGAGCTGTTGACCAGGGCACCTTGCAGCAAGCGCTTGCCCGGAGTGTTGTTGAAGCTCACCATCTCCGTCCAGTTGGAGCTGTTGCCCAGGGCACCTTGCAGCAAGCGCTTGCCCGGAGTGTTGTTGAAGCTCACCATCTCCGTCCAGTTGGAGCCGTTGCCCAGGGTACCTTGCAGCACTCGCGAGCTCGTGGCATTGCTCAGAGTGGCCTGGGCTCCGGCCAGCGCAATCAGAGCTGCTAGAACTGGCAGCATGGCGGCGAACTTGACGTAGCTTCTTCTCAGGACTGTAAGCTGCAAAGCAAAAACTGCGTCGGAAGTTCTCCTGAAAAAGCGAGATGCTTGGCATGCCGCATGCCACCCTGCATGACCAAGGAACTGAAGTAGCCAAGTTCTGAAGAAAATGGCAGAGAAACACAAAACGCCCCTTCTATCCCTTCTTACTTCGAGAACGTAGCGAAAGTCGAAAGCAACGCGTAAGAACATCAACCAGGCCTGCTCCAGGGCATGCGGCTGCCCAAGGCGCCTTGTCCCGAGAGGTAGCAAACCAAAACACCGAAGTTCCGTGGCCTTTCGTGAGCTCTGTATTTACGTAACTGCGAACGCATGTTCGATGAAGGAAGACGATATAGAGCTCGACATTTGCACGTGGTCTCACGCCGATTATCGATCCCCTGTCGCGGTGAACTGCGCCCCTGAGCATCCTTGTTGCCCGAAGCTTGCCTAAAATTCTCACGAGCCACGGCGCTTCTCCCTCCTCATCACTCACACCCTCATCTTGCGGAAGGCCGGCTGTACTGCAAGCCCTCTAAGCCAACGCAGCCGAAGCCACGCAAGAGCACATTTGAAAATCCTGCTCGTAGTCTCATGTACAATAGAACACGCGGCAAGCCGCCCCTCGGATTCAATGAAGCGACTCCAACCCGAACAAGCAATCTCAGCACCGAAGCCCTGCCACCACAAATTCCGGAAAGCAACCCCCAACGGTTCTAACGCTGAGGGGCTGTCCTACAACGAGACACCATAACGAGACCGAATTGCGATGGGCAGCCTATGGCACCCTAAACCCAACGTGGGCCCATGCAGTCTGAACCCGCATAGCACAATGGCACTGAATCCCCACACCCTTCAACCCAGAAAACCTTCAGAATCTGCAACAGCTCAACCCGAACCAGCCTGAGGCCAAAGCTTGGGAACCACTATAGAGGAAGTCAGGACGGGCAGTTCAGCGCAAGGCGGATGCCAGCTTGCCAAAGACCATGTGGCCTTGCACACAATGACATCTAAGCTTGACAGTGGCTTTTCCATTTCGAGAAATTTGGACAGAAGGAATTGGGGTAAACGATGGAAGAGTGAAGGTGTTTTTGGGACAAGTCGTGCCCCGAGTAAAGATTTACGTTTTGGCGTTCGCCTCGCGCTGTCCAAAGTCATGTGCACAAGATGAAATCCCGAAGGATCGCGGCCCAACCTCCCGATTTTGAGTGTATTCCTTCGACGCCGCGCGACCTGTTTTGTTGCTTGTTCGCTGCTTGCATTGATGCTTGGAAGGGGAACACTGCTCGCAAACTCCAGCCTATGCGCAGGTGAAACAACAAAACGAAAAGAAGGGTGATCCATCAGAACCTCCCATTCGGAGCGCTCCTCTCACGCAAGATTCCCAAAGCGTTGAACCAACAGCTCCTCAGCTTACGAGAGTCAGACAAGCCGCGACACTCCAAACTTCCACGAGCCTCGCAAGCCCAAGTAAACACGAAAACCCGCCGGGACTGCAAAGGCATCAAAGTCCGTAACAAAAAAGAGAGTTGAAAGAGTATCTCTCGAGTACCTGACTTATACCTTTGGGTGTTCAGGCCGTTAAGGGCGACAAGTTTTACCTATCCCCACCCCAACAAAGCAAGACCCATCATCAAGATTCATCAAGGCCGCGAAATCCTGCAGTCTTGTCGTTCTTATCTGGGATCCCGCTTTTGGAGGCTGGAGACCCTCGCAAGTAAGATGAGCTCCGTTTCTGTAAGCACGTGAAGCAAAACTTGCTCTGAAACGCTGCACAACCGCTGCACGCCTCGTTCTCCCGTTGCGAAATGCTGTTGGAGCAACATGGAGCAACTGGCCTCGGAAGACACCAGGCATTGCACGAACAAACGATTGAGGCGCCCCGTACGAAGCCGCGCCCGCAAGGGATTGCGCTTCTGCAGCGCCATATACCCTCGCAAGACAGGATCCATGGGCCTGTTAAAAAACCAGAAGGACACTCATGCCGGGATTCCTAAAATAGGTACTGTATGGTACTGTATGTCCCCCGGCACCAGAAATACCACGAATCCTACAGTCACATGAGCTGAGGCAGTGTCCGGGCGAAGGATATGCTCAGCTGCAGGACCTTCCAGGATCGCGATCCAACAGCCAAACTGAAAAAAGGGCCATATCCATATATCATGAGCATCTATGGTCATTGGAGCTGTGTCGTGACAAATCTTGCTCGGCTCTTTTGCTCCAGCCGCGGCAATATCGCTGGAAAGGCATCGAAGC